AGGAATAACGATGATTAGATTTGAATAACATTTATTGTTGGCATGTTGTACATAGATGTTTAAGGATAGATGAAATGTCTGTTTCAGTGGCCTTTTGTAAGGATAGTGCCAGTTGGTGCATGTTGGTTGATTGGTATCACATTGGTGGGTCAAGTGGGATGCATGCTTGCAGAGTCAGAGTCACTTCCTTGCAGAGTCAGAGTCACTTGGTAGAGTTGGTCGGTTTGGCAATTTATGTTTTGGTATCAGTTTCTGATTTTTATTTCTTGATACTGCTGTTTTCAATTCGTTTTTTTTATTTTAATTTAGTATTTTTGCTTTCTAAGGAAGCCATTCATTTTCTTGTGTAATAATAGTATTACCAGTCAATATCTGATTTTGTTTGAGATTGATAAATTTGTAACTTAGTCCGTTCAACTTGCAATTTCTCATGTATTTTGGTCCAATCTTAAAAATATTCATTGAATTATTTTTTTACAGCAAGTTAAAACAGTATTTTGCTTCAAACAGCTGAAAATGTGAAATATGATTTTTTTTTAAGACTAAATTTTACAAGTTACTTTGTTTCACAAAATCAAAGTGACCAATCTTTATCAATATTCTTGAAATTGTACACTCAATTAGAAGACACCTTCAACTACAACCGGGAAGATGATTATTTCTTCTCTAACCTGTGGAAGCAAATTCCTTCAAAAATTATAAAGTAAGTAGCAAAAAAAAAGATTAACTGATAGTATGTGTGGTAAACTTACTGTCTTGTCACATAAAAATAAACGACTCATATATTTTTGACTTTTGAATGTTGTTTTTTGAAACATCTATCATTGTGGAAGTTTGTTAACTGGTGTGTAAAGAGTCAATATTTGGTTTTAAGCAAGGGTAATAAAAATTTATAGATATGCGTTAAAGACCACTAGAATTGAAAACCTGAAAACTGCAAATCAGGGTGGGTAATAAAGTAGGAATTGTTCATCTAAAGTCAGGCTTTAAAGGTAATTTAATCATGGAATTCATGACAGATTAAAGTTTATTAAACTTTTGAATTAACTGTCAACTTTAATAAATAACTACTATATTTATTAACAAATTGGTAAAATACGAAAGAAATCGTCACATACTTGTGTCTTTGGACAACATATTTTTGAGAGAGAAAATGGTGTCTTCAGAAACTTGTTTATGATGTGGCTTTTAAAAAGCCAAAAAATGAAACCTCTCATGTTTAAAATGATTAAAAATACAGCAATTCTTTTCTGGTACACTAGTCAACTGTTATTGGGGTTTTGCAAATAAATTTCTTCTAAACAAGAAAAATCAAGGAGTTATTTTTTTTTTCTAAATAAATTTATTATTTTTATCTCATGAATACACCTAAAATATATATGATCTGTGGCAAAAAATTCTTTCATTTAGGAAAAAGTTGTTATTTTTTAAGTCCTTTCTTGCTCAATCAGAACTTTCAAAAGAATACTTTCCCTACTTGTTGAAAGTAATGAGTGAAAGTGAAGAGAATATCTATGAATCTTTTCAGGAATACCAGTCAGTTTTAGACTCATTAATAGAAGAATACAGCAGAAGATTCAGTGATTTTGAAAAGCTTAACATTAACCTGAAACTTGCTTTTCAGTCTGACTTAGTTAATATATTGTGACGATCTATATTGCACACACATACATACATGCATACACAAATACAAATCACATACAACAACAAGCATTCATTGGTTAATAAATCACCACTACATTATAATAGACAATTTACAAATTGCAGCAATGTGACAATTTTGTAATCGCTCTATTTTCATGTAGTCAATTTTGTGCAATTTTTGAGAGAAACGGATCCCAGAAGCTTTCTTAAGTCTCCCCAAAACTCGCTCACTGATTGGTCAATCAGATCATCTGCACATGAAGAGTAACTTTTTCCACGCAGGGGTCTAGAACTTATAGTCACCTATATAAGCAAGAATTTTTCTTAGCTAATTAATGAGAATTCAGCTGCCAAACGAATCCACGACAGTTGAAACCATGCGCCAACCTTTTCACTCACACACACCATTCGCATGCTGAACATTCCTTATACACTCACATAATCTTTTCTTACACAGCAAAATCTTCTGAGAACAGTCATTATAAGAAACTCTCATAAACATTCTTCCAGTGAAGTTGAAATACTAAAATTACAGATAAAGAGAGACAACTCTTGTTTTATTCAACTTTTTCTTACTTAAATGCATACTTTCTTTCACATCGTTGTATGATTGTACATCTTGTTAAATACATATTTTATGTGTAATGATGTCTTTTGCTTATCCTTTTCTGCGTCAGCCCTGTTTCTTAATCTAAAGTTAAATTAATGTGGTAAAGTTCACCATAGTATCAGAAGCTCCTGAGGAGTTATAAATGAAGCTTATTAAGTTGTTTGAAGATAATATCCTGAAAACTCTGACAGCAAGAAATATCCCATTGAAATTTGGAAATGGGCAGTAGAATATCCTCACCCTTGAACATGCATACCAACTTATTGCATGTTTTTCTTCAACATACAGTTGTGAATCCACATTCTCATACTTGACACAAATCAAGAATTCATTGCGAACACAATTGACAGATGAGTATTTGAAAGACCAATTAAAACTAAAAGCCACCATATTAAAGCTTGATATCAAAATGCTATCTCAAAAGAAACAAATCAAGGAAGTCATTAATTTGTATAAAAGTTCAATAAAGTATTTATTTGAATCTGTTTTTATTAGATTATATATTTATTAAATTCTATTTTATGCATTATTTACCTAAGATATAAAATATGTAATTGTAAAAAATCACTTAGTAAATGCAGCTTCTATGAGGGTCAATGAATTTCAATAGGGCCTTCATGCACAAAAAGCTTCCCTACCCCTGGTCTATTGTATTATCCTAATGTGTATTGAGCTGGCAGTAATGGTTATATTTCAAATTATTCTAGTGGCTATTGGGTGGAAATAATTGTGCCTTCAAATGTGGTTATTTGTAGCTATTTGTTTATTAACTTTTAACTCACTATTTATTATTGGTTACTTAGCATATTTTGTATTTATTCATTAATTATTTGCTGTTGATTATTACTATTACTTTTACTTGTATTTATGTGTGCATTCAGAGTTTGTTAATTTTTTATTACTTAATTTGTTTATTTATTCTAATTTTTCTTTATTTTTTCTTTTTTTATTATTTTCTTTCAGAGGTAGGTTATCTTATTGATTTAGTTTAAAATATTGGTTTAGAATAAAGTATGTCATATTATCTTCATTGTGTATAGTGCATATATTTGCATTTTTCATGATCATATTTTACAAGGTATTAGATTTAAATTTTTGATTTTTAAGTAATGTAGTAAAAATTTGTTTTTATGTCTGCATTTTGAGATAATTTCTAATCATTTATTTAGTAATTTCTGGGAAGGTGATTATAGCTATTTTCTCCTCCAGGTAGAGTTTACAATTTTTGAATTTATTTGTTAATGCTGTTTTCCTTATTTTCCATGATATTTTTGGTGTAATTTGGTTTCTGTTTTTAATTTCCCAAATATTTTAGAAAGGGTTGTACTGTTTATGTTTTTACTGTTTTTAAATGATGTTCTGTGTGTGTGATTTCTCCATTTCCATGGTTCTTCAGTTACTTTGATGTATATTTTTTCATCATTACCTACTGGTACAGGGACTCAAGATATTACATTGTTTTGCAAGCAATTGCTATTTAAGGAACATTTATGTTTTGTTCTGCAGTTACAGGTGGATTTAATTTGTGTTGGTGATCTGTTGGTTATTTTTCTGTCGTGCTTTTTATTATTTGTGTCATGTTCTCAGTGCAACTGTAGCTGATTTTTTTTACAGTATTTCTGTTGAATATCTTGTGGAAAGTGTTTGATGGGAAAAATGTTTACATATGAGTTTAATGAATATTTTTTTTGTTTGTTTTTATATTTTTGTTATATGATGAGTTAAACCATATATTGTTTCTTTCTACATTGGCTTTTTTGTATTGTATAGTATGTATATGAGTGTTACCAAAATCCCACTATCTTTTAGGACTGTTTCATAATCTTTTGGGGCTTTTTTGTCATTAGAAGAATTGTTAGATAACCTGCAGTTAATTGGTTGTGGGGTTTACTTGATTATTCTTGGGAGATTCCCTTGGTACTATCATTTTGGGATTCCTCGGTCATTTTGAACTGACTGTGATTCTATCCCTTTAAGAGAAATGGTGCCTGACGGTTAGATATATGGGACTGGAATAGTAGTTAGTGTGCATAATTCTTTGCTTCCAGAATAAGTTTAGCAAATTATGTTTGTATCTAACTTTTTCTAACATCTAAACGATGATATATCTAGCAAATTAAAAAAATTAAATTAACTTTCATTGTTTTATTTCATCTTTGTTATTTTCAACAAATCTTAATATTTAACTGTTCTTCATTTTATGCTGTAATTGAAAATTCTCCAAGACCATAAATTCTTTATTGTTTTTGTAATACAAGTGAATAAATACACATCAATCCTACAACAAACTGTCATTTTTTTGTGAATACTTGAAATTAAATGAAACATCTTTCTAGAATGATTATATTATTGAAAATAAATTATTTAATTCAAATGAAGATTATTAGATAATGTCTGCAAACCATCAACTGTTATCCATTTTCACAAAAGTTTAGCTTAATACAAATTATGAAAAAAAATAAAATGTCTCTATCTCCAAAGTTGGCCTGATTTTTAACCTCTTTAAAAAAATTATCTGTGTATAGTGCAAGCCCCTATTTTTTGTGTAAAAACTGATCATAAAAACTCACACTATACATGACTATATATTTAAATATTAAAAAAAATAGAAAAACTACTGTTTTAGTCATTTTTATAACAAAAATATGTTTTATGTATCTGTTGTTATTCTTTATGCTTTTGATCTTTTCTTGTTTATGTGAAAAAAGATTTTTACAGTTATTTCTTTCTACTGTGTATATTTCAGGTGGCCTCTGTTTCTGAAGATGACTGTATGTGTTGAAGCAATTCTGAACAGAAGATCTTAGCAAAAGACTAAAAAAATGGTAAAAAAAAAACATAAATTACATAAAAAATAAAAATGAAACAAAAAAAGAAACCTTATTCTTCCAATCTGTTTTCCCCCTTTTCAAAAATTTAATTCAGAGAAGCAAAATAAAGCCAGTTGTATCTAGCAGCTAAAAATAATGCTACACAATAATGAGTTTATCAGTTATTTGTAGTACAGCTTGTTTTAATAATACAGAATATTGATTTGATGTTATCAATAATGAAATATCGAATTAAAACTGGTAATACATTTTTGAAAAAGAACGTTTCCATCTATAAGCAAAATCTTTGTGTAATGGAGTTTTTAAACTGGTTTATCAACACTGGTTTGTTGTAAGCCAATAGACAAATGAATTAACTCTGCTTTCTAATAGTAAGTCATAAGAAAAGAAAAGAAAAGAACTAGCAAAAATGTACTTATTCTCAGCTGTGTTTATAGATCTTTTTTTAATTTGTTTTCTCAGACAAAAAAATGTTTACAAAGAAAACTAAAATCAACAATTGATTTTCACTGAAATAACTCTCTTTATCTTTCATTTTTTTAATTTAATTTTTTTTTTTTTGTTGTTCATGGGTATTTTAGTGAATAGGTTTCTGCAATGAAAATTTGTTTAAGATTTCTCCTCTAGCAAGAAAAAAATAAAAATATTGAATATTGAATCACTTTCTTTGAAGATCAATATATTTCTTTCCAATCTTTTTAATTTTTCTGCACTGCTAAAATGGTTAAATAAATTTAATAATTTATAAACTAATAAATATTTGAATATGCTTTTATATTTTTTTCTGGCTAGCTTATATCACATTACAAGTAACATTGAGATTATAAAGTCATAAAATAAATGCTAATGACTAGAATAATCTCTAGATGAGAAACAAATATATCATTTTCTTTGATAAGACTTTCAATTCTAGGCTGGTAGACATTAATTTCACTGTTTAAAAATGTGATAACTACTCAAAACTGTGTGCTCACTAAATATAACATTTATAGTAATAAGAAATATTTGTTTATATTTCTTGAGATTAATGCCATGGAGTTTTCTTTTGTCATAATTTTTTTTCTTACATGTGCACACACACACAATGAATATCTGTTGTTTTTCAACATACAATAAAGAAAAAATAATTCATTTATAATAGACATTTTTCAGTTTGTTGTGAATTGATAATCCCTTTAATTATTTTTAACATTCTAGCAAGTTTTTACATAATTTTTTCTGAAGTATATAAGATATTTACAATTTTTAAGGTATAACAAATATATATTTTATATTTATAACATATAATATATATATATTTTTTAAGTTATTTTATGAGGAGAAAAGTTATTCAAATTCTATTGCATAAAAATAGCATTTTGTAAAATTTAAGCTTAAATATTTTTCAAACTGTTTAATTAATTGAATGAGCTTTTGTTGATTTTACAGTTAAATTATTTTACAGCATTTTTTTTAAATTTAAAATTTCCCATATTTCAGTCAACAAATATCCTAAAATGTATCAGTTGATGTTGTAGAATTCTACTGATGTAAAAAAATAGAATCAATTTTTGTAGTATTTAAATATGAAATTTAGACTAAAGAGAGTTTATAATCAGAAAAAAAGAAGTACTTGTGCAATGATTGGTAAATATTTCTCCTTTAAAATAAATCATCTTTTCTGCTGCATTATTTGCAAAGAACTAAATTAAAATTATACTTTTTCCCTTGAAAATTAAGAAGGGTCATAAGGAAGGAAAATTACGTCCTTTTCCTTTCTTTTGACTTGAACCCCCTACCTCCCCACTTCAAAAATTAAAAAAAGATTTTAATTTGACAATGAGAAAATGTCCATTAAGGGACATTGTTATTATATTTATCTGATATGGATTTTTACTGAGACATAATCAATTTTGATGTAATATTTACATATCCACCTATATATCAATATTACTAAGTTGACATATATGATTTTATTTTTATTTTATGTTATTTTCATTTTTTCTTTTTTGCAATAGATTTCTGTTTAAGTGTATGATTGGGTAACATACACACACCTATGTAAATATGTGCATATATATGTGAATATGTATGCATATATATATATATATATATATATATATATATATATATATATATATATATATATATCTTAGTAGGCAATGTTTAACCTTCATGCCTGCAAAAAAAAAAAACGGTGTCAAAATGATGGTTATTCCCTTGACACTCCTATTACTGGATACAATTTTCATTCCCTTGGCTATGTTTATTACTTTAAAAAGTGATGATTAGAATTTTAATAAACCCAACCATATGAACATGGGTTTATACATTTTCTTTATTCTTGAGAATTGGCAACAAAAATATTAAATACTATTTACTTATAAGATTTCTTATTTACAAGGATAATTTTAGATTTACAAGATTGTAAAAATATATGAACCAACTACAATGAAATATTTATTTACCATTTTATAAAGAAATATATACAAAAAGAAATTTCTTATTCATAAATTTCTAACAATGTCTGTGAGCAAGAAAGTTTAAATAAACATTTAATGGTGAGTAACTAATTATAAATTTTAGAAAAAATGCACTTTCCATGCATTTTTTTCATTTGCTCTTGCCACATAAATTCACTAAAATAGGTTGAGTGCATCTCTTGCATATTCGCTTACATATACCGGGTTCGCATATTTTTTATAATCTTGTCAATAAACTTTGCCAAGGGAGTCAAAAGTGTATACAGTAATATCAGTGTCAATGAAATAACTGTCCTTTTGAGATACTGTTTTTTTTTTTGTTTTTTTTTTTGTGGGCACAAAGTTTAAACATTGGCTCATAATTATTATGCTAATGATGCAATATGCATGACAAAAAAATTAAAACCAAAATGTAAACCAAAGGGAAAACTTTTAATCTAGTCAAAAATCAGTCTTCTGATATCAATTGGAAAATATGGACTAAAGGATTTGGGGAAAAGAAATCAATATTAAATTTATAAGAAGCAGGTTAGTTAAAATATTTAAACACACACACACACACACACACACACACATACACACACACACACACATACATACATACATACATACATACATACATACATACATACATACATACATACGCACACATACACACACACACTGAGTACAGGTAATAAGTCCGTTGGTATATAATCCAACTGGATACTAGTAATATAAAATATTAAAACTAATCAAAAAGAGTTCAATGTATTTGTTATGACAGAGCGTATAAATGAGGAAATTTTGGATTTTGTTGTGTGTATTACACAAAATCTAAAATTACCTCATATAGGGTGGGGGGATAGATCTATTTCAACTTATGAAAACTATGTCAGTTTTATTAACCCCGGTGTATAGACCCTATACACCAGGGTTGAATAAGACTGGCATAGTTTTCATAGGTTGAAATAGATCTATCCACCCCATATGAGGTAATTTTGGATTTTGTTGTGCAATACTATATATATATATATATATATATATATATATATATATATAATCCTTTTTTTATTTTATTATTACTATTACTAACATGACAACTAGTATTGGTATTACAACTATTTTAAACTCATGATTGATTAGTCCATCTTTTATCTTTTACATGTAAATCCAACCTTGCAAATTTAAATTATTTAGAGAGTAAATATTTTTTTAAAAAATTTCTTCACTTGAGATTCTGAGTTTTTAATATCTCATCCAACACTTTAACCACTCAGCTACAGTGACTGTAATCAAGTCTATGCACTCGCTGTTTTAATTATCAACAAAATCCAAATTAAATCAAATTTTAATTAATTCCCTTTGCTTTTAGTTAATGATGAGTGTCTTATGAAGATAAATTTTCTGGCAAATGTCATTTAGGAAAATATTTTTTAAAATAGTAATGAAAATTAACTAATAATATTTTACTAGCATCAGTAAGAGAAACAAAGTAATAACTACAAAAACAGGATAGAAAAATAGGTGAAAGTGTTTGGATAGTTCTACATTTGAATATTTTTTAAAGAATGATGGTAATAATTCTAAATCAGATCATAAATAGACAATCAGCAAAACACCTGTTATAAGAATAATGAATGATTGCCAGATAAATATATCTATAAAACAAATGAATTTATCTGAAATTTAGAAGCTTAATTAATATTCAAAATGGCTGAAAATTCAGTTTTAATCAGTTATACAAATACAAAAATGTCATTTACACAAATCCTGTATCAAAAATCAAATTTAATGTATATTAAAAATACAAAGGAAACAACTTTTAGAAACCTTCCTTCCCCTTTTACAACTCAAATTCCTTTCCCAAACATATTCCTTTTTTTCTATTTTTAAAGTCAAATTTCATGTTTGACTATTAATACTATTTGCAATATATATGTTTGTGTGTGTGCATGTATATAAGTAAGAGAATGTTTGTTCTGAGATGTATGTATGCATTGTGTAAAAGTGTTATGTAATACTTCATACTTACAGAAGGCTATTGGGTGATAAGCTTAATCTGCATGAAGAAGTGTACAGACAATGGAAATAATTTCATTTAATATTTGTTTTAAATATATCAGATTTCCCCATTAAACACCAAATGCCAAAAACTGTTTCTTACCATATATCCTATGCTTTCAGTTTTCTTTTCTTCTTCTTCAGGCCTGACAATCTATCACTAGAATTTTCCTTGTATGAAACAAAAACAAAACAAAAAGTACCTTGGAAAGTGGTTTAAAATTTTTAATTATGCCAAAGGTGATTTTAAGTTGTTGATTAACCAAATTCACACTAAAAAAAAAAAAAAGAGAAGAATGCTGATGTTTTTCTAATAGAATAATGTTTTGTATAAAGCATTTATGAACTTTACTCAAACTAATTAAATTAAATGTCTGGAAATGCTTTTAATGGTGTTGAAGGCGAAATCTGATTTTTAAATTACTTTCAATTTCTGTGCATGACCATGTGACAATATAATGATTTTTTTTT